TTTCTAAATGGCACTTCAGATCTGCTGGGCTCTAGCTGTACACTTAAAAACAAACAGCTTTATCAAGGTGTAATTTACACACTATATAAGGTAAATGTAGGTATACTATGTAGGTATATAGTCCAGTAATAGTTTAAGACATTTATAGTTGTGACGCCATCACCACAATCCAGTTTTAGAACATTTTCATCTCCCAAAAAGACCCCTTTGCCTGTTTGGAGACATAACTAACCAAAGTTTTGCACAGTTGCCAGTATACAGAAGATGATGAAAAAGATTATAGAGTAGGATTTTGTTTTGTTTTTAAGATAGAGTTGTATTTCAATCTAAGCTCGGGAACCCTGTGTTAATATATTAAAATATGTTATCTCAAGTACCGTGATGATGAAAACTTAAGGATGTGGATTGGGATTAATGAGTCTGATGTTTCTATAACATTGCTGTAGAATAGAAAAATAACGTGAAGCCATATATCATTTTAAATTTTCTAGCAGCAATATTATAAAAATAAACAGCTGGAATTGATTTTATTAATATAGTACATTTAATTTAATAGACCCAAAATATTATCATTTCAACATGCAATCATGCTGGGGTGTTTCTCAGCATCTAGAGTGGTTCGGGAATCTGGAGAAGGGGCTGCAAATAAATTAATAAAGAGACCAGACATGAAATATAAATTTGGAAGGCATTTTTGGGGAGCCAGAGGAGACCTAGCTTCAGTAACCAAGTTCTCTGGATCTCTGGACCCCTAGCTTTTTATTAACACAAATTTCCCTAAGGCAAAGCAGATACACATATCAAAGGCAAGGTTTGGTATACAGTAGGCATTGTCAGGTTGGGGGAACTGCCCTTGGCTGTCAGGCAGCAGGCAATAATATATGAAAATCTTTAGGTTTGGGGAAATGCTTTCAGCTATTCCAGCAGGCAATAATATGTATCTTCAGTCCGGCTGAAGCCTCAAGACCCACCAACCTTTTGATGAACTTGCATTTATGACCTGCTGGAATTAGCCCCCAGTACAATCAATATTAAAATCATTAAGGTCCTAACCGGTTTGGCTCAGTGGATAGAGCATCGACCTACAAACTGAAGGATCCCAGGTTCGAGTTCGGTCCAGAGCATGTACCTTGGTTACAGGCACATCCCCAATACGGGGTGTGCAGGAGGCAGCTGATCAATGTTTCTCTCTCATGGATGTTTCTAACTCTCTATCCCTCTCCCTTCCTCTCTGTAAAAAATCAATAAAATATATTTTTTAAAAATATATTTAAAAAATTAAGATATTTTATGTTCTTCTTTTATATGAATTCCTTAAGATCTGGTGTGTATTTTACTAATGTGGACTTTCCACATTTAAGTGCTCATTATCCACATGAGGCCATGGCCTGTACTGACTAGCACAGTTCTATAGGATATGTATTAACTTGTTATTCTATAATATGAAGTAGAGAATTTCATGGAATTACTGTTAAATACAAAATCTCTTCTGATTACCAGAGCTTTCAGTGCTTACTAAATTGGGAACTTCTGAACATTAGAAATAAATCACTTAGTAGCTGTCAATAAAATAAAAATGATAGCCCTCCCAAATTTCCTTTAAAGATAACTTTTCATAGGGCCGTTAATGAAAGAATATAATCTGCCTTGTTGTTATGTGGTTGATTATTTTCTCTTGCTTATAGCTAGTTTCTATTAGAAACGTGTATGCAGGAATACTACTTGGCATAGTACTGTTTTTAGTACATGGTACCTATTTTTTTAAGGAAATTAATTTCATACTAGAAAAGATAATTTATCATAAGTGATACTTTTGCATGAAATACTAGTTTTATTGATAACTCATGGTTAACTCTTTTTTAAATATATTTTATTGATTTTTTACAGAGAGGAAGGGAGAGAGACAGAGAGTTAGAAACATCAATGAGAGAGAAACATCGATCAGCTGCCTCCTGCACACCCCCGACTGGGGATATGCCCGCAACCAAGGAACATGCCTTTGACCGGAATCAAACCTGGGACCTTTCAGTCCGCAGGCCGACACTATCCCAGTGATGGCGAACCTATGAAACATTGTCAGAGGTGACACGCAAACTCATTTTTTTGGTTGACTTTTCTTTGTTAAATGGCATTTAAATATATAAAATAAATATCAAAAATATGTCTTTGTTTTACTATGGTTGCAAATATCAAAAAATTTCTATATGTGGCACAGCACCAGAGTTAAGTTAGGGTTTTTCAAAATGCTGACACGCCGAGCTCAAAAGGTTCGCCATCACTACTCTATCCACTGAGCCAAACCAGTTAGGACTCATGGTTAACTCTTGACATTAGACACAAGAATCAGCAAAAATAATTATGAGAATTTAGTGTTCTGCAGTTATGTGTAATAGAAACTTCAACAGTATTAAAAAGGTTGTAAATGTTAAAAAATCTTTTCATTTCACTGTGTTCACTGAGGTTGGATATATTTGAAATTGTAGATTTCTATGTCTGAAATCATCTTCCAGTAAAAAAAGGTTTTAGGGCCCTAGTCAGTTTGGCTCAGTGGATAGAGCATCAGCCTGTGGAGTGAAGGATCCCAGGTTCAATTCTGGTAAAGGGCGCATGCCTGGGTTGTGGGATCGATTTCCGGTGTGGGGCATGCAGGAGGCAGCCGATCAATGATTCTCATCATTGATGTTTCTAATCTCTCTCTCCCTCTCCCTTCCTCTCTGAGATAAATAAAAATATATATATTTTAAAAAGCTTTTAGATATGAGTAATTCCCTTTCATAGAGATAAAAGTTTTACCTGTTTACTCAAGAACACACTAGCATCCTTAAAATGTGTCGTTAAAACCCAGTGTCTTTTTTATTTAGCAGGTGCTACGGCTATCCCAACCCTATGGACAAATGAACAGAACTCAGGGAAGGTTGGGAAATTGACCAGACTTTCATTAAAACCTGTATTATGTAATTACTTATCTGATGTATTTCCCTCGCTTTTATTTTTTTTACTAGGGGCCCAGTGCACGAATTCATGCACCTTGAAAGGAACTGTGGGCTGCGAGGCTTCAGTGGGAATAGGGGTGATTCTCAGCCCATCCTCCGTGCCCCTACCTAGCCCCGCTCCCACTGCCACAGCTCCCACGGCTGACGGCGGCGGCCCTGCTCGCACCTGCTGACAGTGTGGAGTGATTGGGACCAGTGCCAGCAGCGGGTGCAAGCAGGGCCAGCGCCATCAGTGGGTGTGAGCTGCAGCTGCTGTTCCAATCACCCCTCAGGAGCAGGGAAAGGTGGAGAAGCCCTCAGAGACGATCAGGGCTGGCAGCCGCCACTCACACCTGCTGATGACGCCAAACAATTGGGACCAGCACCAGGCACCGGCAGCAAGTGCAAGCGGCAGCTCCAGCGCTGGCAGTGGGTATAAGCGGGGCCAGCACTAGCAGCTGGTGCAAGCGCCCAGAGGGACTGTGGCACACAGGAGCAAAGAATTTCAGTAATCACCAGAGGCTCGCCCCAATGACAGCAACCGGCTCCCCCCCCCCCCCCCGCCTTTGTCTGGCATCCCTGCTCACCTGATCCACCATCCCGCCATGGCCGATGCCCACCATATTCCATGCTCTGCCACCTGGTGCCAACACCTGCCATGTTCTATGCGTGCCCCCTGATGGTCAGCACACGTCATAGCGACTGGTTGTTCGGTTGTTTCGCCATTTGGTCTATTTGCATATTAAGGTTATAAATACACACATATATATATATATATATATATACATATATATATATATATATTCTTACTTTTATCCCTTGCCTTATTCAGCTTCGAGAGGTAGGGAATGGTGGAATCTGAGCATAAAAGAAACATTAATCCCAGAACACAGGAAATTGGAATTAAGATGTCATTATTTTGTTTCCAAAGATTTATATGTATAATAAAAATTCATCTTACCATTCAATAAAAGCTATACTATATATAGATTTTATTTTTAAGACATTCATAATTCTTTTATGAGCCTATCTGTAAAACTAGAGCCTTTATTATACTAAGAGCATGTGTTAATATAAATGTGTATATATTTTTTAAATCAGAATAAAATTTCTACTCATGTAAAAAAAAAAAAAAACTACTACTGTGCAGAGGAAAGCAGCTCAGCAGGAAAAGAGATCTGTAGAGGAGGCAAGAGGGATTCAATTCTGGTCAAATAATGTAACCTCCAAGAATGTTTCTTCCTTGCAAAATAGGGATAAAAGCTATCTCCCTAGGGCAGTGATGGCGAACCTTTTGAGCTCGGCGTGTCAGCATTTTGAAAAACCCTAACTTAACTGTGGTGCCGTGTCACATATAGGATTTTTTTGATATTTGCAACCATAGTAAAACAAAGACATATTTTTGATATTTATTTTATATATTTAAATGCCATTTAACAAAGAAAAATCAACCAAAAAAATTAGTTCGCTTGTCACCTCTGACATGCGTGTCATAGGTTCGCCATCACTGCCCTAGGGTCTTGTGAGGATTTAAATGAGATCCTAATACTAGCACTGAAAGGGACACATACCAAGTAGACAATAAGGGATTATGTTCTTAAATCACCCTGATGAGACTCAGCTCTAATTCATAAGGTGCTTTACTTTAAAGGGGAGGAAACTGAGGCCCAGGAAAGCAGAGAGGTTTGGCCAGGGTTTCTCAGTCAGTAGCTGAACCCAGGCTAGCACTCAAGTCCCCGCAGGAAGTGGGAGGAAAAAAAGATTATTTGGGTTCCTCCCAGTTGCTGAGCATGACACTGTCACTTTGCCAGTGATCCTCCGCCCTCCACCCCCTGCTCCTGCTCACTTCACCATGAGCACTGCCCACTGCCTGCCCCCCCTCTCCACCTCCCTGGACATGTTTGGCCCTCCTCACACCTTCCACACCTCCATAACCCTCATGGACCACAGGACAAAGTAAAAAGGCAACTCTATGACTTTATTGGTTTTGTGAAAGGGTCTGGGTGTTTGTCTGGTCCAGCTAAATAGTCAGTCCCTAAAGGCAAGCAGGAGACCTGAGAGGATGCCCCAAGCAGGACCCCGACTGGAAGGCTCTGCACCAGCAACCTGGGCCTTCTGTAAGACATTGAGGGCCTCACTCACTCTGATGGTCCCAATATAGCGAAAATCTGCTAAAAGTTTGCGATATTCACGAGCACAGCCCATGAGGAGGAAGGTGGTATTGAGAAGTCCTGCAAGGAAGAGAGGGAGGAGTCAGGGACACTTACAAGACTCAGGTGCCCTGCCCCTCCTGCTCTCCCACCAAACTTGGGCACCAGACACCTTCCTCCTTGGATTTCATGTGCCTGGTGCCCGTAACCCTAACCCCATTTCCAGACCTTAGATGGGAAGGTACCAGACAGCACGTGGTATAGAGCAGGCATTTGATAAAGTTTCTCTCTTCTCACCTGCCTGAAATTTTATGGTGGAACTGTAACACGCAGGTGCATTGTGGGGGCAAGAAGCGGTGGTAACAAAATTTGGGAGGCAATCCTTAGAGTGCTCCCCGACACAGGTTGGGCAACTAAGGGAAGAAAATGTTGTAGGCTTAGGAGTGTCCTTGAGTTTCACAAAAGGATCCAAGTTAGTGAGATTATTGCAGAGATATGTCCGGCAAACGCGGCTATAGGAGGCAATGGACAATCCAGGCGGTGAAACGAGGTAGGAGACTTGCTGGGGGTAAGATGAGGATGGGCTGCAGCCTTTAAAACCCACAACTCCCCTTCTGTTCCCTGAGGAGCAGAGATTAGAAAGCTCTGATTAGTGCTGTTGGCCACACCCAGAGTCCAACCCTCCCACCCTCCCCTCCACGCTGTTTTTCCCACTCGCTCTGCCCCATGAACAACTTTGCCTCTCCTTCAGTGTCCACTCACAGCAGCTTCACAGGACTCAGATGTTGGGGTCACCATCTGTTTCTTTTCACTTCCCTCCCCACAGAAGTCCCTCTGATCCTCTCTCCTTGTGTCTCATCCTTTTCTTTGTTCCCAGATTGCCCCGCTCCTCCTGGGATCTGCCCACCTCTTATCCAGCCCACACCATAACCAGCTGGGTCCTGCCCTCTCCTGCCAGGGTCTTGAGGTTATTCCCAAAGATATAATGTGGTAAATATCTGGAACTTCAGTCTAGAGTCCCTCGGTGCTGGGAATAAAGCTAGAAGCCAGAAGAACCACCAAAAAAATAAAAGTTTCTTCTTTCACCTGTCTTGATGAGCACCAGCGTCTCCTCGCAGCCCTCACTCAGCTTACACACCATGCTCCTCATCAGTAACCATTTCCAGTTCTGGAAACTAACAGCTCTGAAGAGCGAGGACTTTGCTTCATAGCACAAAAGAGCCCCAACCCCTAAACAGAGAATGATCTTCCAGTTATCTGTCCCTCACAACACCTACACCGCCCCTGAACTGCCAACCGAGAGCTCAGCCTACACAGATCCTGTCCCCTGGGGAACACAGATATCCAGCCCCCTCCCTCGGGGAGTCCCAAAGCATCCAGTACCACAGGACATACAAGGCAGAGTGGAGATGGCCCCTACGAGGCAGAGCAGCTGCACAGGTCTCAAATGCTGAAGTCCCATGGTCCTATGTCAAGGTCCTGGATGCCAGTGGTCAGTCTGGAACCAATTTCAATCTAGGTCTCAAGCTTCCTTCTTATCAGACCCTGGATTCTCTGTCCACCTGCCTCTGAGTCACTGTTTCTAGGGCAGAAAATTGATTATTATTTTGTATGACAGAGGCTCCCTGAAACCTTCAGGGACACAGGTCTTCTCATTTCCATAGTCTCCCCTCCAACTTAACCTGGACCTACCACATTAGCTTCTCATTCCCCTGCTTAGGTCCTCCCCATTACACAGGGTGTTGAGAAGAAGATACTGGCTTATTCAAATATCACTATTCTTCAGGGACAATGAGGTCACAACAACAAATGCATGTGTGGAAATTAATTGATATGTTGCTAAATAATCCTTGGTTCCCAAAAGAAATTTAAAATTATTTAGAAATGCCCTGACTGGTTTGACTCAGTGGTTAGGGCTTCGGCCTGCAGGTTTGATTCTGGTCAAGGGCACGTACCTTGGTTGTGGGCACATCCCCAGCGGGGGGTGTGCAGGAGGCAGCTGATCGATGTTTCTCTCTCATTGATGTTTCTAACTCTCTATCCCTCTCCCTCCCTCTCTGTAAAAAATCAATAAAATATATTTTTAAAAACAAAAATAAATAGAGGTATTTAGAAATGAATAATATTGAACATACTACACACATACACAAGTGCATGTAAAATCTGGTGAAAACTGAATTAAGGCCTATAGTCTAGTTAAGAGTATTGTACCATTGTCAATTTCCTTCCTATAAACTACAGTTATATAAGATATCCCTATGGGGAAGAGGGAGAAAGGGTTTAAGGAACTCTATATACAATTTTTGCAAGTTCCTGTGAGCTAACAATAATTTCAAAATCAAACATTGTGTGTTTTTTTAACTACTCATCAAAATTTGGGACAAATCTAAAGCAACATTTAGAAGTAAATTTATACTTTAAATACATTTATCAAGAAACAAGAAGCATTAAAAATATGTTTATGGCCCTGGCCAGGTTCCGTTGGTTGGAGCATCATCCCGTACACCAAAAGGTTGCGATTCAATTCCCGATTTAGGAGCAACTGATCAGTGTTTTTCTTTCCTCTCTCTCTCTCTCTCTCTCTCTCTCTCTCTCTCTCTCTCTCCCTCTCTCCCTCTCTCCCTCTCTCTCTCCCTGCCTCTCAAAAATCAATAAAAACATATCCTCGGATGAGGTTTTCTAAGTTCATGATTTAACTCAAGAAGTTATATAAAAAGCAACAAAGCATCCCCCACAAAGGATAGAAATGAAGATAGTAGAAATCAACAAAATAGAAAACAACAACAAATCAATACAAAAAAACTAACATTCATTCCTTGACAAAGTAAGATAATTCACTAGCAAATCCAATTAAGAGAAAAAGAGAAGATGCAAATAAAATAAAAAATAGGAAGTGGCAGGCATCAAATGTTTTTAAAATAATAAAAGTATTAATAACTCTACATTTATAAATGGAAAAAACTCAGATGAAGTAGATAAATTTCTAAAATAATATGGAATGCCAGAATTGGCATAGAGGAGTCAATGCAATGTCTTAAACCAATGAGAATGACTAGGAAACTCCAGCAAATTGACAAGAAAAAGAGAGCAACCCCAGTCAAAAAATGGCCCAAGCGCATAAAGAGGCAATTCTCAGGGAAGCAAAGCAAAAGACTAGCAAACATGTGAAGAGACACCTGAGCTCAACTTGAACTCTTCTGGACCCTGAGGAACCGAGAAGAGTTCTGATCAGTGTCTCAGGCCCAAAGCACCATTGCGGGGAGGACTCTGGCAATAATTAGTTAAATCAGGTTTACAAATACCCGTTCCTGGTGGTATCCTAGGAACACATAAGAGAGATGTCCGCCTTCATCTACAAGGGAACAAGTCTGAGGCTGCAGCATTATTGTGGTGGCAGGAAGTTGAAGGCAAGGTGGGCATCCTTCCCAGAGACCTCATGAACACTCAGCACAGAGGATGCACACCATGGACTGTCACCCAGTTAGAAAAAACAAATTAGATGTGCACATAACGTGTACATGGACGGCTCATAAAAACACAGTACAAATTATTTTAAATAGTAACGAATACAATCATCCCTTGCATATATCAAAACCTCGTGCAAGTAAAATGCTACACCTCTTGCAAGCACACACACAAACCACAAGACATGCATCAGCCAGCGGAAATGAGTGCTGAAGGAAGGGCTAGGGAACGGGGATTACAGAAAATAACTAAAACAGTGTAGGTTGTACATAGTCCAGAGACCAAGGTTGGAATCTTCACCCTCCGTTTAGCTGTGCAGCCTTGTGCAACTTGTTGAACACATTTACTAAGTGCATTATAATGTATCTCAAGTGTGCAATTTTTTGAACACGTTTATAAAGTGGATTATAATGCATCTTATTAACATAAAGTGCCAGGCAAGTGCTAAGCTCTCCATAAGTGGCTCCTCTCCCCGCCCACCCCCCGCCCCCCGCCGCCCTCTTTTACCTAAAGAACCAAGGTCATGCCCTAGCTGATTTGGCTGTGGGTAGAGCGTTGGCCTGCGGACTGAAGGGTCCCAGGTTCGATTGTGGCCAAGGGCACATGCCCAGGTTGCGGGCTGGATCCCCAGTGGGGGGCGTGCAGGAGGCAGCCGATCAATGATTCTCTCACATCATTGATGTTTCTATCTCTCTCTCCCTCTTCCTTTCTCTCTGAAACAAATATATATTTTTTAAAAAGAGAATCAAGGTCAACCTCTTCCGCTGGCTTTCAAGTCTCCCATTCACCCACCTCCACCCCACGGCCCCTGGGTTGGCCCCAGACCACCTTTCCCGCTTTGTCCAGTCCCGCTCCCCTGCACAGCAGTCCAGCTAGAGGTCACAGACTGCCGCACTCTTCTGTCCAGAATGTCTGACGCACAGGCTCTGATCCCAGAAATCTTGGCGAATAAGAGGACTATGACCAACAGAACAGGGAAACGGGGATGAGAACTCAAGGCTGACCAGGGATCACACAGAGAGGCTGATGGAATCAGAGGAGACCGCACACACCAGCCTCGGGTGCAGAAGGTCTGGAGCCAACCACCTGAGCAAAAGCGCTGGCAAAACCGGGAGGGGGGGGCGGGGGGGGGCGGAATGAAATCCTCAAGGAAAAGGGGTTTCAGTGGTGGCTGGAGGAAATGCTCCCCCTACGAGAGGGAGATTGAGGGCCGATCACCTTGCAGGGAGCCGGAGGACCTGTAGAGGGCACAGCCAGAGCCGCAGGGAAGGGGCGTGGGCACAGGGACTAGGGTCTGGACAGAGCCCGGGGGCCCAGACAGAGCCGCAGAGGAGAGAGGACAGCACGCAAAGGGTTGGAAGGGGAAGCGTGAGATGGGTCTAATAGGGACCCACAGAGAAGGCAACGAGGCCGGGGAGGAGCAGCGAGGGAAATCCGGGGGGCAGATGCATCCAAAGGGGGGACAGGGCCAAAAGGCAGCAGCTCGGCAGAGGCGGCGGCTAGGGGAGTGAAGCGAGTGCGGCAGAGGGCCGAGCCGTCAGGGAAGGAGGCATGAGAAGACCCGAAAACGAGTTATGGGCCCGCAGAGAGGCTCCCGAGAACGGAAAACCGGGTCCGGAAAGTCAGCACCAACACGGACAAGAAGAGGCGCAGGGAAGGGGTGCCGTCGAGAGGAGGCTGGGGAAGAAAACAAATCGCAGGGTAGATCAGATCGGGAGTGGGGGCGCCTGGAGAAAAGCGAGAGGAAACACGCGCGTCCACGCAGCGAAGGGGAGCCACCCGGAGCGTTGAGGCCACGAGCGCGGGCGGCAACGCAGTAACAGGCCGATGACAAGGCCGCGCCTGCGCAAACGGACCTGTCAACGCTTGCCCGCGGGGCGGTTCCGCGCTGGCTGGGGGGGGGGGGGGGGCGGGGCGGGGGGGGGCTGGGGCCAGCCGTGTCCTGGAAGCCGAATTCTACGCCCCACGGGCCACCGCCCCCCAAAGCATAAGAACCATCTGGAAAGGCAAGACACAGGGAGAAGGGAACGGGCACGAGTCTCAACTCGAAGCACTATTGGCTGGCCTGCGAGGCCACGGGAAGTGCAGGGGCAGGTGAGGGAGAGGCCATGAAGGATCTTGAAGAGGATCTTGAAGCTCATTGGTCGCTTGCCTCGGCAAGAAGCGGAACTTGAAGCTCATTGGTCCTTCTGGGGAGGGGCGGGGAAACAGGCGCGAGCGCAGCCGTTCCTTAGGTCACTCCCTCACCTCGTCCCTTCGCCGCCTCCCGAGTCTGACCCAGCTCGAGACTGTGGTAACTGTGGGCTGAGGACGCGAACACGACCCCGCCCCTCCCTGTTCCACCTCCCTCTTTCTTGTGCTGGACACCCCCTCTCCCCGCCCCCCGCATCCCCTCGCCCACCCCTGGCTTCCCCCTCGCGCTCCTCACCTCGCCTCCCCTCCCCCACCCTGGGGGCCTCCGCCGCCCCGCCCCCTCCCGGGGACCCTGGGAGCGGCCACAGTACAGCTTTTGGAGGGACAGTCGCTGAAAGGGGGGTTTTGAGTAACAGCGGCATGAGGGGGTGCACTGCGGGAGTTGGGATGGGCCCCCCGATTGCTGAGTGTGAGTAATGGCACGGAAAGTGTGGGGCATGGCGATGCGCAGATTTGCATCAGAGTTCGGAGACTGTGTTGGGGGCAACAGTGGTATTCCGCCCGGCACGTGGAAGGGGCTCAAAGCGCATTCCTGAGAGAATGAAAATAATTATTGCAAGTGGGGCAAGAACTCCCTGAGAATAATGGAATTCCTGTGGGTGCAAGAGAGTGAACTAACCAAAAGGGTGGCAAAGGGGAAGGTGAATTGCAGGGCATGCATGAGCGGAAAGGGGAGCATAAACTATTTGTAAGAATTGGGTAAATGCAGGAGGGAGGGGGGATCATTGTTCAAGAGAAAGCCAGAAAACCTGTTGGAACAGGGTGGTGGTGGAAAGGGAAGGGAGGATTCCTTGCAGGGGGCAG